CGATGTCAAACTGGCAATCTTGCTGATTTAAGTATATTTGCCAATTCAGACACTTAATATGTAAAAATAAAGAGCAATCAGCATTTATTACAAATAAGTATAAATCAAGTAATTAACAGATTGGTGTTTATCATTATTCTTATTGATATTTATTTATACAATTTATTATATAAAATTCCAGTTGATGTTTATTTAAATATTTAATAAACTAAGTTCTGATTCACTTTTTATACAGGTAATATGAAAATGTGTGGAGTCCTATCGATCAAGTGAGTAGTGTACAGTGCTAAAAAAGATGTTGAGTACATAGTACAATATATACAGTAATACGTATATTAATATTTAAACTATGTAGTGTACCGTTTACATATATTTAATTTTATTTATTTAAATAAAAATTTTTTATTTTTAAATATTTTTATAATTATCAATGCATAATTAATTTTAATAAATCAAGAATATTTAATATATTGGGTTGACTTAAGTATATAATAGAAAAATTTAAATGAATATTTTGAAAATAGGATCTTTTAATTAATATATATCGGCCAATTGCTAAAAGTTAATACTATAATGCACAAGTAATTTAAATAATATTTTTTATTTTTATAAAAAAAATAATAAAATTGATTTAAATAACAAATTTAACAATTGAGATATTTTAATAATACTTTACTTTTATTTTTATCGCAATTTTATTAAAATTTTCTGAAAATAGTTTTATATTCTGTATTTTTAACACATGATCACCTATTTACTAAATTAAGTAAATTTTAATTTATGTTTCTTTTCAATATTGGACAATTTCATTACACGAATTTTAGCTTCTCATTTTCTTAAAACCAGTTCACGCTCTTTTAGAGCTAAAATTCTTTCCTGATATTCAAGTTCATCGATTTTTGTAATAATGGTATTTTCCTTATCATCATTATCACAATTATCCTCAGAATCGTCAGAATCAATTGTTATTGTTTTTTAGACTTTTTCTTAATAGAACTAGCATAAACATTTTGTTTACATTTCACAGAAACTGGTTTTGTATTATTTGATTTTTTAATTTTCGCATTGGCTAAATATAAAATAAATTATTATAATTAGTAAAAATAAAATAAATTTTTTATTTTATTTAAATTATTTATAAGTTATAAAGTTAAATTAAACTTACCTTGACATTTATTAGATAAAACATTATGAGTAATAAGACTTTTATCTTGACCCCGATATGGTATATTATACTTTTGATGTACATTAATAGCAGCAAATCTTTCTTTATCTAATTTACGTCCTCTATATAAATTAATAATAAAAGTGTTGTTATTATATAAAATTTATTATATTAATTAAATTATTTAAAATATAAATATATACTGTAAAATAGCTGTCACAATTTTAAGATTTTTTCCACGACGGTTACTTAAAGCATGTGCTGTCTCTGTAACATTAGTATTGTCAGGAGATATCATTCAAGTTACATTATCAATTTTTGACATGCATTTATTAAAAGATGCAATGACCCATTTTTAACGATAAAATGCAACCCATTCTAATATAAAAGATAAATATAAATAATAATTATAAAAAAAAATAATTGATTAAATAAAAAACTTTTACTAACCAGCAGAACTTTCTTCAATTAGTTGAATATTATCAAATAAATGATTAATTTCATCTTCTGTTTCAGCTTTAAGAAGTGCAAGCATATTATTTGTAAGAATATCATTATATTTTTTTTCATTTATTTTTCTAAATAATAAATATATTAATATATTAAATTTGCAATATTTAATAATTTGCATAAATTATTACATACCTTTTATAATGTACCCGATATGACTTAAAAATATGAATCAAATGTTTTTTCCAATCTTTTGTTTCATCAATTTCATTTAATACTAATCCAAGCCCTTTTGCTTGTGCATAATCCAAGTCTGCGGTAATACAACTCCATCCAATTCTATGTATATGCTTAAATTGAGGTGGTGAATCTGTTAATTGAAGTATAAGATTAAATAAAGCATGAAACATTCTTTGATATGCAATTGTAGTTGCATAATTTGTAAAAATCTGGGCAAAAGTTAAAACTAATAATAAATATAAATTTAATAAAATTATTTAAACTTATTATAAATTTAATAAAATTATTTAAACTTATTATAAATTTACATAATTTTATAAAATAATAAAAAAAACTTACTTAAATTATGCTCTGTATTATAATAATTAATTTCAAATTTATTGATTTCACCAGCTACACACTTAAAAGAAAGATCTATTTGAAAATATTTACACTTTTTCCATTCTAATAACTGCTCCGGAGTAGTGCAAATAATTAATACATGTTTATCTTCAAAAAATTCTAATTAAATAAATGCAAATAAATAAATAATTAATTAATTAATTAAAAGTTAATAATAAAAAAAGTTTATTTTATTTAGAACTTACCTAAATGTTTTACATAATCATAAAAGTTATTAATATTACGCAAATAATTATAAACAACTCCAAGAAGCCCATGACTTGTAGATGAATTTCTTTTTGAATTTTATTTACATAATATCGAAGGTGATCTGCATTATTTAAAGATGCATGTACATCAGAAAGATAATCAGTTCCAAAATATGCTTTAATTAAGTTTCTTATATAAATCAAAAATAAATTTTAATTAGAATATAATATTAATAACTTTAACGAATACATATTTTTATTAAAAAACATTAAATGAATTAATTACCTGTAATGATATGAGTTGGTGTAATAACAGTATAATCAGCATTTGCTTGGTAAATTAATTCTTGTAAACGTGTACGAATAGTAATTAGTACATGATTTGGTAGAGGTGGTGGATGATTATGAATTCCTTTTGATATAAGAATTATATATAGGCATTTTTCTATATCAATTGGAATTATTTTAGAATATTTAACGCTACATATTCTTTGAATTATTGATCCTTGTTTAATTGTATTGTCTTCACGATGAGAATGTGCTACAAATAAACAAATTTAAAAATTAAAATTTAATAGAAAATAAAAAATTTAAATGTTATAATAAAACTTACAACAAAGTGTTTTTTTTGAGCTATTATGTAATACTGTAAAACAATTATTAGTTGGTTCATTCAATTCACCCTAATAATTTAAATTAAATAAAATAATCAAAAATAAAAATTTTAATACAATAATTATAATTAATAATTAACCTTGTATAATCCATCTAAAAGTTGATAAAGCAAATTAAGATCAACATTTTCTTTGATATTAATATAGCGATAAAATTTTTCATTAATTTTCCATCCTGTACAACCAATAAAATAAGTTGGCGAAGTTGTTTTATCATGACATCATAAACATTTTAAAACAGGTTTTCCAATACATTGCATTCCATTTTGCATATACTGGCATTTAGTTTTAAATGCTGCCAAATATACACTATATAAATAAAATAAAATTAATATAAATTTTTATATATAATTAATTGTATATTATATAACATATTATATAACTTTACTTACGCAAAAGTATTATTTTTTATGTTATTAACTGATACTTCATTATTTACTTTTAAACACAAATCTGATTCAGGATCTACTGTCTCGTGCTTAATTTCCAAAAGCTCTGGAGTTGCAAATTCACATAATTTAACTCCTTGACATATTCTTTCTTTTCTAACTACACCAATATTACCAAGATAAATGCAAGTTGAATTATGTTGACCACAAGGTTTTCCCATAGAATATTGGATCTAAAAAAAAATGAAATTAATTATTATATTTTATTATTTTTTATTTATAATATAATTATTTAATTTTTATATCTGTAAATACAGCTTCTACATTATTCCATCCTTCAACATGATAAATAATCGCAACTCCTTCTTGACTTATTGCTAGATATTCAATAGGAGTCAATGAATGAATTATCATTTTAACACTTATATTTTTGGTAATGAAATATACTTCAGCATCCTCTTCCGGCTCAGGTAAAGATGTTTTATTTGGCTAATTAATATATAATTATTTTTATAATATTGTATATTTTACTTTACTTATAAATATAATATATATAAAATAACAAGTTACCTCAAGGTCCTCTTCATAAATAATATCATTTTCATTAATAAAATTAGTATTCGTAGACATATTTATTTAGAAAGACGTGAAAGTTTCAGTAAATGGTATTTTGACGCGAAAACTTTTTTTGTTGCTCTTTGTTATGCAGATTAGATTATAAGGTATTACAATGATCTTTTGCATATATATTACACAATAGTAGTTTCACAAATTATACAATTGTGTAAACTCATTTCACATGACCGTACATCACTCATTTAATCGATGGGACTCCACACCTTTTCGTATCGCTCTTTTTATACATGCCAGATGAACAATATTGATTAAATAAGTAACAATAATTTATTAAGTAATACAACATAAAACAACCATATATGAAATCATCTTTCAATTGGAATAACAACCATATATGCAATAGGATTTCTTTTATCAATTTCGAACTTGCTAGATATAAAATGACTAAATATATTGTGTACTGGTATGATACAGTCTCTATTAATGTCATAAAAATCTTTTCTACAAATTTCTATATTACAGTTCTGAATATCATTATCAACTTGACAATAAAATCTTGTCTGGTAAGATAGAACCAGCAAGTATCATCTTACATATGCCAAATGATGAATTTGCTTCCCTTTAGGTAAATTAATTTCATGCTCAAAGAAGTATTGAACATGACCAGAAAAATATTCAACTGAATTATTATCTTATACGAACTTAGCAATAATGAATATGTTTTTTAAATATCGAGGCGTATTTGCTAATCCAAAAATTTTGGCTCCAATTTGAATATGTCTGTACTGATTAATTTGAGGCTGAACAATAAATCTGTTGACAGAATGTTCAGTGGTTTTCATAGTTTTCTGAACCAAATCCATAATAGACAAAAATTCCAGGTCATAAGCGTCATTATAATAATCTACTAGAATACTATATATATCATTCAGCAAATTGACATTAATTTTTCGAGAAAATAACATCTCATCAAGAAAAGGTTCAGTACTAGTAATTGTATCTTCAATCTCGAGTCGATAAATCTGCCTAAAACGAACTATTACAGCATACTGAAAATTATCATAGGCTGCTAAGCTTCCTGAAGTGACCTGTGGTTGTATCAATTCTAGTCTTTTGATAAGCTTTATATTATTAATTGAGATCGTTAAGTCACCAGTTTTGCATAATTATTCGTAATAATTCTGGCTCGATTTAATGATGACTATTTGGAAAGGAGCCTAAAAAAAGCATATAACTATTTTCAGTAAGAGGTATAAAAATTTATTTTTTATAATATATATGTTAACTTACCCAAAATCCCGTTTATTCTTTTAAAAGAGTAATATCAGAAAGAATATAATGGCCATAATCTTGACAACATTTGACTTATGAAGTGACAAATGAATGTTCAGAGTAATTACTTTTGAGCTATATTACTCTTCAATTAGTTGAGCAACTTGGAGTAGTTGTAATTGTGCTTTATCTAATACATTATTATCTATAATGATTGAAACTAATAAAGAGTAAGCCTTAACAAGTTTGCTAAAATTTTCTGATTAGATTCTAATAGTATATCCCACATTAATGGAATCACATAAATTATAATAAATGTTTTCCATTGATCTGCAGTGAATCCAAAAAACCTTTACCAGTTGCTATTTATGTGGAATTCTTTCAAGATCAGCTGGGATTTTAATATTTTTGCGTTTCTTTCTATTAGCTCGAGATGTGATTTTATGATTATTCTATCATTAATCCATAATCTCTTTACAATCTAATGAGCAATTCCTAAAAATAAATTATGCATCAGGTTGACAATTAAATGTCTCACTGGATTGTGTTAAAAAAGATAAAACAGTTCAGACCATCTGACATGAGTCCTACTAACATGTTGGTTCCTGTCATTTTCTGTCTGCATATGCTTCTAAAGCATAGCATTGTGTTGATGCTCTATTGGATCTCTTGTTCTAAACCAATCACTCATATATTCAAATTCGCTAAAATTTAGTCTTTGACTCTCTTCATTACTAGCTCTTTTATAGCATCTATGACATCCAACTAATGAGGATATATGGCCACATAATTTCCTTGCTGCAGAAATATCATTACTACAGCAAATTATTGCCAATCAGACCTTTCTACTAGTAGGAAATTTATCGGTAGCAGGTAAATAAACTACATCCTAAAATTCCAGCAATTCATCTACTATTGAAGTAAGATAATGATTTATCCGATGTAATTTAACCTCATTTGGATCTGGTAAAAAAGTGAGAGTCAACATATTCTCCTTTTTAAATTGAACATCCTGTGGTAGATTACAAAATAAAACATATATCGCTTCAGTACTATAGGATGTCGAATCAAACGGTTGGAACTAATATATAGGGCAAAAAAGGGTTCTGAGACAAATCACCAAATCACTTCAGAATCAATTCTAGCTATACAAATCTATTATCAAATTCAATCCTCTAGCATGTTTTGACTAAATTCTAGATGATGATATCGAACTTATCTAGGAATTAATCTTTAAATATCAAGAATTATATTGTTTGATATAACTATTCTAGTTTGATTTTAATTCCAAATAATATATAAAAAATTTTTTACTATTCTGTTTGCCTTAGAGGGGCCATTGAAAATCAAGGAATAAAGTGACGTGATTTGAGCTGGGCCTGGCATTGCAAACCCAATATGAATAATATCTTTTATGCTATTCTGTTTGCCTCTAGAGGGACTATCGAAAATCAAGAAACAAAGTGACGTAATTTGAGCTGGGCCTGATCATGCAAGCCTAAAATGCATACTAAAGTCAAAAAGTCTAACCAAAAAAAATTTGCATAACCAAGTCTATCAAAAAAAATCTAACCAAAAATCACATAGCAAAGTCTATCAAAAAAAATTAACCAAAAGTTAATATTTATTCTGAGTTTTTAAGGCTTTATCACATAATCTGTTATAGTATTGAATCACATAATAACCTTTAATATGCTTGCCACATATACTACATGGTACACATACCTTAGTTTTCCAATGCTCATGATACACTTCTTCACACATGCAGGGCTTACCACAAGTCTTGCCAGTATTGTGCAAATATGGACAGAAATATTCTCTAATCATTTTGCCCGAACTTTGAAGAATAATATTTCTACATCCACTGATTGGATTTATGTGAATTTAGGCTTGTAGAAAAGATCAGAACATGCTGAATCCAGACGTTCAGTCCTCATCAATATTTGGCTAGTAGATGTCGAGATATTTGCGTTCCAAGATCGTTACGATAAATCAGACTTTTATGATTATCATCATAAGCAAAATATACTGCGCTACTGTGACCATGGTGGTCACATTTCTTCTATCGAAAATAAAAAATTTTATTATACCTAGTTTTCATACAAATAAAGATGATTCTGTCATCCAAAAAAAATATACGTTCTGGTTATGTTTTCATAGTTTCATCCTAAATCAGTTATAAATCTATGCCAATAATAATCAAATAGGTATAGTCACTTCTTGTGAGAAGTCAATCACTTCTCGTGGGTAGTCAGTTACTTTTTTTGGGTAGTCAGTCATTTCTCGTGAACAGTCAGTTACTTTTCGTGAGCACTGATTATTTCTTTTCATATGCTTTCTTAATTTACAAGAATAATAAAATACCTTAAAACAATATATACATGTCCGATTATCTAACTTTTTTTTAAGTCCTCCTTCTCTACAGTAAAGGTATTACATTGGGATTTGTGAACTGATAGGTGAATGATAATAGTCTTTCCATTACATCTGGCTTTAAATTCCCTTTTCACTAAAGGTTCATATTCAGCTCGATATTACCATTGAGTACTAAAAATTACTAAAGATTTAGCATTTCCATTACGGTTCTTTTCTGCAGGTATAACAGAAACATCATCCATGATAGATGCTGTATTATCTCCAAACCCAAATATTATCCATAATACCAGTAGATATGGATTGACTTGCAACCCCATTAAGCCTATGAATTTTTTTCCTATTAATTTTAATACCTAAAAGCTCTTCAACAAGCTCAGCAATATTATTGGAAAATATAAAAGAATCGGAACCTATATCAATTATTGTACAAGGTATTACCAAACCTCTTATTTTGCAATAAATAGTCGCAACATCATCAGCATTCTTTATTTATAAAAAATTTATCTTTAAGGGCTTGGGCCAATATATTCGACTATTTTTTTTTTCAACTGAATGATGTTGTGTATATGCCTTAATAGCATGGTTTAGAGTATTAGAACCTAGTGGCATTATATCATTCATGGGAGCATCTGACTCAATCCCTTTAGAACTCTCTAGCTTTTCTTCTATCGGGACATAAATAAGAGGTTTTTGCTTTATATTTGTGGCATGGATTAGTGGATGTAAAACATATATAATTTTATTTGTAATATGCCCCCATACTTTTTCTCTTTTCATGATATTATCATCTTTTATAGCTGTATTTAGAATATAATCTTTCAATTTAAGGTATATTGTATTAATATATTGAGAGTCTTTCTTAAGAATTTCTTTAGGAATATATTGTATAACTGATGATAATATAGATTTTAAGGCTATTAGAAAAACAAATCTATAATCATAGTTATAGGTGCTGAAGGTTCAGCTTTTTTACGAGACTTGAAAGTAGGGGATTCCTTCTTGTGAGTCTTTTTCATAAATACTGCACTTTGTACCACTTTTTTTTATAGTATAGCAGTTTCAGTTAGAAGCATTTAGGGTATATTCATCATCATTAACATATTCGACATCTTCTTTTACTTCCTCTTCTTCAGGATTTTCTTCCTCTCCCAATATGTATTCTTCTATGTATTCTTCTTGAGGATCTTTAGACTCTTCTATCTCATCATGAGCTGAAGACGCTAAAGCATATAAAATTAACCTTTTTAATCTGCTTAACTCCAGGATAATTAATCTTTGAATGACCAGCCTTTCTACAGACTGAGCAAAGATGAACAATTTGTTTAACTGGTGTTTTTAGTTTTACTTTTCTAATAGCTTTCTTTATAGCATTTGTATTTCTAACCTCTAACTCTAAGAAGGGATTC